TGCAGTCCTATAGCATTCACTAACATGACAACATGTCACCATCATATTGAATTATACATGGGGTAGAAATATTTCATCATATAGCATGTAGTACATAAAACAGTTGGGGCATCTGATTATCCAAACCAATCAGTCTCCTAGGCAACCGCATGACAATGTGGCTTTCTTCATTTGAATGTTAAACTTTTTGATTTTTTTAAATTTAATTTTTTCTGGATTTTTTTGAATTTTAAATATTTGAATTTGAATGTTTGTCTAGTCTTTCAGTATCTCCCCCCCCCTCAGTTGTTTGGATAAACAAGGCTGCACTCATTTTTCCCTCTCCTGCCTAGAAGGTAATACAGCAGATTGTACAGGATATTAAAATATGTGCGTATGTGTAGTATTTTACCACTTCACTCAGCTAAGTCTGGGAACTGGCAGGAGCAGAAGAGTTTTTAGTGCTGAAGGAAGAAAAGAGGGCTCTTTTCATTGGGGGAAGGCTCCAGACTGAGCTGAGCAGTCTGGGGTGCTGATACAAAACCTACCTTCAAAGGACATATTCACAGCAGCCATCATAAGAGGCATAATTGTTTAGGAATAACTGGGAAAAATTCTGGAAAATGTGTTTTATAATCACACAGATCATTTCAATACACCTTTTCTATATCCCCTCACATATTCATACTGACATCTTTTCAAAGAAGAAAAGTAAGGTTGTGCCCACAGCTGTGTTCCCAAATATAGTAGAATACTTCACAGTGGCATGGCACAGTGCCATGGTTTTGTTGTTACATGAACAAGCATGGTAGATTTTGTGGGTTTTGTGCTCCTTCCCTTTCCTCGCCTTTCACTCTCATGCTTAGACTTTCACAGCAAGCTATGGTTCATTCCTTTTCCTTTCCAAAAAGGATTAAACTATTTATTGCAATTGGGTTCAGAGGGAAAAAAACAAACCATGGTTTGTTAAATTCAGACAAAGCAACAAATGTTGGTTTGTAAAAGATGATTTTAATTTCAGACTCCCAGATCATGTGTGTCAACTGGCCATGTGAATTTTGTAATCTGTGAATTGCCCCTTGATCATGCAAGTGGCAGCATGGGCATACTGACATTAAATATTTTTACTAGTATTCTTTACTGTTCAAGTTAGGAATGGGCATGAACCAGAAAAGTGCGGTTCATGCCAGTTTATGGTTTGTGGCCAAATCACAAACCGAACTGAGCCCGGACCAAACCAGTTTGTGGTTCATGACCCTGGAAACCCCGCTGAAAAGGCCTGCAGTCCCTTTAAATGAGGTTTGTAGAAAGCCCAACAAACTGCTGAGTGGCAGGGAGTGCCTGCTCCCTGCTGCTCAGCTCCCATTGCACAAGACAGCCCAACACAGCTGAGCAGCTGTTTTTGCAGCCTTCATGGGGAACAGAAAGCAGGGGTTTAAAGGGACTCAGTGCCCTTTAATCCCCTGGTTTCTGCTCTGTCCATGAACCACCATGAACTGCCATGGATTGCTTTAAAAGTTTGTGACAGTAGACTCATAATGAATTTTGGTTTGCAAACCATGAACAGGACAAAATTAATCACAAATTTCAGTTCACATGGTTCGGTTCATGCCCATCCCTAATTCAAGTAAATTCGCTATTTGAGAGCATGGATATGATCACAATCAAAGATTCTTCATTTCTTGTACCAATGATTTAAATTTCAGTTTTATTTTAATTATTTATACAACATATTGGCTCGGAAAGAACTTAATTGTAAGGTAATTCTGAATTATCTATCAATATCCATGTATATTTTACTAATTTAAGAAAGAGGATATAAAGTGAATGAAAGAATGTTTACAGCAGTTTTGCAGATTAAGGTGTGTGAGGGAGAGGGGGTACTAATTTGGAGTGTCAAAAGGTATTGTCACAAAAATTATAATCAGCATATTAGTCACTAAACTGGAAATGACAGAGCTAGTTAGCTGAATGAAGGACCCTTCTTTACAACTCAGTAAAAGTAGTACAACTAACAGCATCATAATTTTGCTACCTAAATATGTTTAATGTAGGCCAGTGGCTTCATCCTGCAGATAAATGATAAAAATTGAAAGAATCTAAAGAAGCTTTTATGAATGCTGACATTTTGAGAGTATTCATGCACTTGGCTCTAGAGAACCACAAATGGAACTATTTATTCAATCCATTTTTATCTTGCCATTTTTTCAAGGATCTTAGAATATCGTATATCAGTCACCCCACCTCCATTTTATTCTCACCTCAACTCTATGAGGTAGGTTAGGTTGAGAGAGTGAGTGCCCAGTCACCCAGTGAGTCTCATGGCATACTGGGGTTTTGCCAGATCCTAGACAATATGTTAACCACTACAGTCACCAAGCTAGTTCTAGAATGGGTATTTGCATCTTCTTGAAGCTCTTTGTAAAGGATAAGGGACTGTTGGAAATAGTGTGCAAGGCAGCAGCAGTGAGAAGTAACTCTTCCAGGTCAGCAAAAGTGCCCTTCCACTGTGCAATGGAAACAGATTGGCTCTAACACACAGAACATATTTACATTTTAAAAAATACAGTTCTGGGCTGTCCCAAAGCACGACTGAGGCAGAAGGGGGTTACATTCTAATAATACAAATGAGATCTAATTCAACCGATACTGTCAAAATCATGGGAAGTTCTACTGTCAAGCAGATTAACCTGGAATGACTATCATGAAAGTAGCTGGGTAGAATTGGAATTAAAATTGAAAAGCACTGGAGAAAGAACTTTTTAGTACAAATCTTAGATATAGTGGCCAAAGATATGTCATTGCACAAGATGCATGTATCAGAATGCTGACTTCTTTTTTTTTTTTAAAGCCAGCACTGGCAAAAAAGCATTTGAAATCCCATAGAACAGGAAGCACTTTGGGTGTGATTTAAACAGGGGAAACAACAGATGAGAAAGGGTTAAGTGATCCCCTTTATTAAGTTGTTTTTATTAAGCAAAACCTCTGTCATCAAGGCTGTAACCAACCTCTTGGAGTGTAATGTCTACTTAGCTCTCTGTGAAAGTTGGTGCATTTCAGGCCATTTATCAAAGAAAATGCATTGCTTTGTCCTTGAGCTTTAACAATCAGCACATCCTAAGTGATAGTTGTCGTGCATTCAGACCAGGCACAAATACTTCTCTTGACCTATGACAAAAGATTTCACAACAGCCCACTGCAAATAAATCAGGTAAGTATAATAGGACTGTTAGATTAATGAAAGACTTCAGTCAGCTGGGGAAGTTGCTGTTGTTGTTTTTGTATTTTAAATCAGCATGCAACTATGTTCAAAGACTGGCTGCTTATAATGTTTCCTTTCATCCCCATCTTTCATCCCTTGAACTAGACAAATGTAGACATCCAGAACTGAATGCTTATACTTTATGGCACAGGAATCCTCCAGAAGATAGTTGATACACAAAATATTTTAGGTTAAAAATATTAAAAAATGCTAAAAGGAATTTAGGCAATGCCATTTAGAATGCAGATCAATTACCTCAAAGTATATTTTAAAACCCAATTTATATATTAATCAGCAATGAAGCAGAGCAACAGAGCAACAGGTAGCATTTTACTACATAATTATTACATTATTTCCTTACATGTGTTTTATAATTACGGTGTCTTCTTCTGGAGGGCACTGTGATCTCATTGCTGTATTACCAAGTATTATCAGCAGTAATTAACCACCTTTAATCTCAGTGGATTGCTGCAGATGCTATTGGAGGATAGGCCTGAGGGAGGGGGTGGGGGAGTGGCTCATGTTCCAGGGAAGGGTTTATCGTCTTGCTATTTTGCCTTTCTGTACAATGGAAGCATATTTTAAAGGAATGGCTTTTGCAGTTATCAGAAATCTCAATTTCACTTTGGTGCTCCAACTAACCTCTAAAAGTCTTGTTTGGTCGGAATAGAACATTATTCAACATCTCCAGTAGTTCTGTGCTCATCCAAGATCACACCATGTAATAAGCTTCCATACAGTACTTAAATATTGAAATGTTGTTACAACTGTGCCTTAACAAGAAATAATGGCAGCTCAATGATGGAAAAGTTAGAACAACATGGCAATGACTCCCTCCCTTCAAGTCACAATGAATGCAAATATTGGAATAACAATATGGAAATGTTGCACAGAACAGCGTGGGCATGAAATCAGTCCTGCTCTTATTTTCACCAGTTTAGCAGAATAGTTTGACAAGGTTCCATGAAGTACTTTCTAAACTGAGGACAAGTGATGATTAAAAAAATAAATATTTACTGTTCCACTTAATTACATTCATCCTGAGCTTGCTAAACTGTGCTAAAATGCCTGTTTAATACAGGAAATCGTGTGACTATTTATTTAAACAGAAATTCTTCCCTTTCTTTCATGCTGCTATACAAAAGGCATTTCTTTTCTTCCCTTCTTGAAAATATAAAAATTTGTGGCACTAGCAGTTAATACAAAAAAGAGACAGATGAACTCTGGGTGATTGGTAACTTGTTCCACTTTACATTGATCAGACAGAAATATAGGAATGTGATAAGACTGGGGGAATTTAAGGTCGGATTTGCTTTTGGTTCCTATAGAATAGTACAAAGATGTCCTTCATGAGCCATCACAATGATGGTTCTGGTGTAAAAGTCAACATAATCAAAATGAAAACATTACCCTCTTAGTATGCATGTTGGTTTTTTTATCTTTGTTTAACCAATATATTCCATTTTTGAATGGCAAATTTCTGAAATTATTCACCCATTTATGCATGATGTCATAAATATATATTTTTAAAAATAATGTCTTTATAATCCCCCCCCCCATTAAGTGCAAATGCCAACTAGGTCAAGATATAGAACCCCAGTGCTTGGCACTGAGATTACCAAAGTGCTAACTTGACTGGTGGCAGATGCCAGCTGTTGCTGACATACTATGATCTGAGGTTACATCATTCTGCTAAGGAAATAAATTGGACAGCAGACAAAATTCTCAGGCAATTCTTCTTGTTACACATGTGTTACCCCTAACTGTGCTTGCTCTCAAAACTATGGAAGGCGCCTGTTCTAGAGAGTCTTCTCATAGACAAGGTGTCCCCCCTGCTCTCTGGTTTGGATGACTTGCTCCTCTGGAACGTATTTCGGAGGCTTGTCGCATTGCGCTGCCTATCAAGTTTGTCACTGATGGAGTAGCTTTTCCTTGTGTGTGCATACAACAAGTTGGATTCATCTGCAGAGTAACTGTTAGCCCGCTCTATTTTTGGAAGTGGTATATTATTGGACAATGTTCTTGATGTATTGCTACTATCTTGAGGAGACAAGGAAACTGCTCTTTTTTCTTTGGCTTCGGTATCCTCATTATCAGAGCTTGGGTGACTTAGTTCTGCTTCTCTTTCTGGGTGGCAGCATCCTAAGTCATCTATTTTGTCTCCATGATTTCCAGGGAAGCTGGACCTTTCTGCAATGGTTTGAGGAGCACTGACACACCTGGTGTCTATGCAGTCTGTAATACTTGTGTACTCTGCTGTTTTGACTGGCACTCCAAGGCTGGTAAAGTAGCTTCTAGAAGGAGAGAACATGAAACTCTGAGATTTGACTATAGGTGGTTCCTCCAGAAGAAATGGGGAAGTAGCCAGGTATCTGCTGCTTTTAGATCGCTCTAAGGTATGATACAGGGGAGGGTCAGATTCCCAGGGGTTTTGACTGTCTGTGATTTGTGAATAGTCTGAAGAAAAAATTCTTGTTTCCATCGAAGAGGGGTCTTCATAATCAATACTCCTTCCTGAAATTTTGTCACCAGGAGTACCACTTACATAGGTGCTACTTGAGAGAACACTAGAAGCTATCTGGGCTTGGAGAGCTGGGTCTCCAGTTCCAAGTATGTTCATTGAACTGTCTAGGGGTTCTATAACAGACTGCAGTTCATCCATGGCAGAGACATAAATGTCTATGCAGGAGGAAGGCCTTCTGGAGTCTGGGGCAATTGACAGAGTGCTTGTAGGCACTAAAGGTACTTTTTGCTCTTTTGACACTGAGTGAGAGCTACTAGCACGATGAAGGCTCACTGCTCTTTCTTTAAAAATACTTTCAAACTTCTCCAACCCACACTTGTCCTTCACGTTCACTGCATAGAAGGAGTGACTTCGTAAGCGGGGCATTACTGTTGGAGAGGTTGGTGACATAGACTCTTCTCCAGGGGGATCAATACTCTCTTGAAGTTTATAAGCATTCCCTTCCTGGCTGTTGAAACTGCTCTGTCTGACAATGTAGGCTGTGTCAGTACAGTCAGAGGATGTTCGAGACCGTATCTTAGTGGTTTCTCCTCTGTCCAGGCCAGTCAGCTTGTCTAATGCTGTAGCCATTCGCCCTATCATATCTTCCAGCTGAGCAAGCCGGATGTCTACAGTCTGAAGGGAGGCCTTCATGCAATGCTCTCGTTCATTCACTTCTTCCAGTCTCATAGCCATATTCTCTACCCTGGAAGAGACAGAGAGAGAGAGAGAGAGAGAGAGAGAGAGAGAGAGAGAGAGAGAGAACATCAGTTACTTTTGAACAGTTTGAACATATTTGTCTTATTTATCAATCATCAATTCTTATAGTACTGATCCCAGCATGGGACTATTTGAATCTTTAACCTTGATGATAAAATCCAAATGGTTTTGAATGGATCAGGAAAACAAAGCAAAACAGGGAGTAAGTCTGGGCACTCCCCACCAGCAGATTGACAAGCAAATGTGGGGTTCATCTCAGGGAGGGGCATCACAGCGGTGTGCTCTATCTACAGGCAAGTGAGCCCCCAGCCTGGGGCTGCCTAGTGGGTTGGCCATTTCTGAAAATCTCTCCCTCAAAATAAAGAGGCAGTTCAAGTTTTGTTCAGTCTCCTTGGAAAGAAGGTACTTCAGAATAGTCCAGGAGGTTTCATCTGCAGGGAGTGCCCATTTAGAAGGAGCTGCTTCAGTCATAAGACGATGCTGTATTTGGAACCTCTTAAAACTTTGTGAAACTTCCCAACATTTTGTAAGTGCCCCACTCTCTGTGGTAGCCACTTTATGGTGATATCCATTTCTCTTTCTAAAGACTCCAAAAGTGACTGCAGGTATAACAAGTTAAAGGACTGCTGGCTCATACTGATAATATTTATATATAGATATTTCATACTGCTTAGCTTTTTAAATAAACCATTATCTCCACACAAGGAGTGTGGAGTCCTGGAATACTAACTGTCCACTGCAATTAACTTAGTTAATGTATAACAATTGTTTGAGATAATAATTATTGGAATTTTGCTCATAATTACTAGCACTGTCTTATTTATAAAGATAATACATGTTTTGCAGCCTATGGTTCAATGTATTACATTTCTGTACCACAAACCTGCATTAAGTGGGACATATTTTGTAGGATGTATTACATGTCAATTGATAAGTTAACAAAATAAAACAGAGGACTGATACTTGCTTATGAAACCATTGTAGGAGTCAGGATTTCTTGTTTTTAATAAAATTACGAATTAATTTTAAAAGATTTAATACTACTTTTGAAGGCTTTAGATACATGCAGCACAAATTTAATTTAACATTTATTATCAGCTAAATTCTACAACCATTAATTGTAACCAGACATAATTTGATTTATGAAAGTATAAAAATATGATTGCACAGCATAGGACTTTATACATTTTGGAAAGTTGCCAATAACTTGGAGCAGTGCCTAAGTCATGTGAAAAGGCACAGATAGAAATTACTCTTTCACAGAAAAATATATGTAAAAAGTGTACCATCCTAACTCTCGGTAATACTAAATCTATATGTAATTGTGCTTAAATGGAATAGAGTAGATTTTATGCTTTATAAGCTTCTGCATATTGCTCCCTCTGTACATCTAAGCATCTGTGATCCTCTCTCTTAGTGTAAATTGCCTGTATTTTACAGGATACAATGATGTACCACTTGGGGCAATATTTGCATTCTATTGCTGCAGTCCAAGCGACCATGAAATGTGTAGACCTGGCCTCTCTACCACCCACAGGAAATAATAGGCCATTATTTCCTATGGGTGGACCTGATCTACCATCCATAGGAGAGGGCTATGAGGCAGTCAGGCCTAGTAGAAGTGCAGAAGCCCTGCTGGAGGGCCCTTTATATTTTGTAGCAGGGGGTTGCTGGGTGGTCATTCTTGGGGGTGGGACTTCCCCCCTGCTGGCCAGTTGGTTGGGAGTGGGAAGGAGCCCCTCCAAATCAGGAAACCCCTGGGGGATCTGGCAACCCTAGCCAACTAACAGCTATTTTTGTGGGGTCAGCAATTTTCTCTTTGCCTCCTGGCCATCTTGGAATCCAAAACACTCCTAAAACTCTTGGAGATTGATTTCTGCTACTTCCAGAATTTGGGGAGTGTTTTGAATAACTTCAGGCAGGGCTATTTTGGGGCAGGAACGCTGTCAGTTAACACTGTCTTTGGAATGTGTGGGGAGTGATCCTCCTTCCTAGTACACTAACGATGTCTCCTGTCTGGGTTGTTATCTGTGTATGCTTTTTTGACCTTGGGCTTCCAGCTGCTCCTGACCTCCTGGGAACAAATGGCTCACTTTTCTCTCTCGCACGCGGGAGCATGCACAATGCTTATTGGCTAATGCTTCTAATGGGGGTGCTTTGAAACTACTAAAACTTTGGGCCATTTCTGACAAAAAACATTCAAGTGTTATAGTTATGAACTACCAATAAACAGAATACTTCTTATGAAGCACTGTGTGGTGTGATCTGAGTATAGAACCTGACAAACGCACAGGAATGGAGTTCTGGCTGGCTTCAGAGTTGGCCACGCCCACTACAGCCAAAACCTCTGCGTGCGTGGCTACAGAGGGAAGGCCTGGAGAGTGACCCCCCCCGGTGACTCTGAGGTGGGCAGGCCAGGGGGGCCCTGGAAGGATCGGGGAAACATTTAAATGCCTCCCTGTGTCTTCCCCGGTCTGTCCAAGGGCTGGCTTGCCTGGGCTCCCCGCAGCCGCAGGGCGCCTGGGCAAGCCAAGGGAAGACACGAGGTGTGGCCTAATATGCTAATGAGCTGTGCTGTCAGGGTGTGGCCTAATATAGTAATGAGTTTCTGCTGTTGGATGTGGCCTTCTACAAACCCCCCTCCCCCTGACTTCAGGTATAACCAAGCTGACCTGAAACGATGAATTTTGGATACATTTTCAGCTCAGGTATATCCAAATGCACACCTCTAGTCTAAGTTCAAAATGAATGGACTAACTAGACAAAATACTGGGAGATCTGGATCATTTCAAAAGACGAAATAGCCATGCATGGTCCCAGTTAGCATCACAGCAGGGTGAGGTAAACAGAAGTTGAACTCTGCCCACTCTCAACATGTGGAACTGACCCCTCCCAGGGTTCTTGTTAGTGCTACAAGGGCAGGCAGGCAAAGAGGGGATGCCTGTATTATTTCTCTTCCAGTAGTCTGAAGGGGATCAATTTTAACTGGTTAAACTGCATAGAGGTAAAAGAGTCAAGCCCCTCCTCTCCCTACAATACCATGGTGCCAATCCAGTTCAGGGCTCTGTGGTGTTGCTATTTTATTTTTAAAATGTAAGGAATCTCATCATGACTCTTCCAGTATCATGTCTAGTTAGACAATGAGAGGCCATGCAGTTCAATAACCTACGTAGCAAAAGAGGCCCGAGTGAAACTTCTATTTTCATCCCTTTTTTATTACTATATTTTCAGTGACCCATTTTCTGATCCTCCAATATTCTTACTATGATTATGAAGTTCTCAGAAGTTTTGAGATTTTCACCACACATATCAGGTTGCCTCTTAACTTTTCCCATGTATTTTATCTGTAGTTTGCTTGATAGTTAGGTGTGATTAAATATTAATGTATTGTATTTATAGTGTTTGTCCTTATTGGATTTATGTATTTTGTAATGTATCATATTTATGAACATGTTCCCTGTTTCAGTTTGTATTATTTTGTAATAATGATGGTTTGTGTGCATACTGTAATTTTATTGCTCAGTATGTTTGTGCGCACACTTGGGTATCTTATCCTGCTCAATAAAATCAAATAACTCTTGCCAGGGTGTGCATGTATGCACTATTGTCAGTTTGGACTGCCAAATCGAGCCTGGCCCTGGATACTGGTTGGAGGGCTGGGGTCAGGGACATGGAAGGATCCATGTGACATCAGTGATATCACCAGTATTGCTATGTGACTTCTGGGGAAAACTTGTAAGTGACAAAAGTTAGCTCTAGGAATCTATGCCAAAACAATAGAGTTTCTAGTTATTCCTAGAGCTGCCCTATATCACTTCCAGATTTTACCCAAAAGTGATGTAGCAACATCAGCAATGTCACTGTTTTTTAATTTCATTTTTAGAGAAGCAAAGGGAAATAGGTCTTGACTGCCAGAAGCCTCCTGCTGTAGTGGGAGGCCTGGCAAACTTATGATGGTTAACAGTGTGTTGTTATTCCCCACACTATTAAAGAAGAGATCCCACTGATTCTGCTAATGTTCTGTTATTGGTTTACCATCTTAGAAAGAGATCTATATGATACAGGATTCGACATATGTATCTGTATATATGTTACGCAGACATTACTAAAAATCACTGGTTGAATGCCATAATATGATTCAAAACCCAATACAAGGAAATAATTTATTGTTGTTGATGTTCAGTAGCACAGTTGAGTCTGACTCTTTGTGAACTCTGCAAACATGGGGACAACAAATACATATGTATGTGCATAGACACTAAAGAAAATATTGTTAATTCTGTGGATAAAACGTATACAAAATACCTCCCCAAATATGTTATTTATCTTGTCCTGTGAACCTTCACAAAACTACCACTAGGAGGAAGAATCAATATCTTTGAAAAATTCAACAGCGTTCCTACTTGTGATCCAGCAAGAGGAATCAGGAAATAAAACAATGACAACCCCATGGTGCATAGATTACAACATAGGACTTTTAACTGAAAGACTGGATTGTAAAAATGACCGTCCATTTTCAGCAAAAAAAAGTTTTACTTAGTTTTGATAAGTGCAAGTTTCAATACAAATTCATTGAAGTGGAATTAATGCATTAAAAAGCTTTTCCCTTTCCAAGTAATGGAAATGCTAAGAGTGACAAATGACAAACTATAGCTTATATAGAAAATGAAAAACAAGGTACCTTTCAGATGTAACACGGATTCTTTCATCATTAGAAGAATTGAATCTATCCTCTTTCTCTCTGAAATATTCTTCTATGCATTGTTCCTCAAAGTCATGAACTTTCTTCAGTTCATCATCTGTTATAAAAAGTTCTGTACAAGACATAAGAGGCAGGGATAAACCAGTACTTAAAAGATATTAGTTAACTATCATAACACTTTACAAGATGCTGCCAACCTTGATGATTTTTTTGAAACTTTATACAAGAAATTATGGCTTGCAGAGTAGCGTCAGACTCTGAAAGGCAGTATTATATCTTCAGAGTTGGGTCGTACAAGCATGGGACCACCAAAACTCACAGGGTAGGAAAATCCAATCTCTCCACACTGGTCTCTGACTTCTCTCTCTTTTCAGGCTCCCTCTCTGTTTTCCTCCTTTTTTTTAGCCCCCACCCCAGGTTCCCACTCTCTTTCTTTGCAGGTTTTCCCCCTCCTCTCCCCTCTGTCTCCCCTCCCCTCTACATTTTTTTATGTCCTCTCTTTGTCCTTACCTAGTCTGACCTTGTTGGATGTCGAAGTTAAGGAGGATTGGTCCTGGTTAGTAGTTAGATGGGAGATCACCAAGGAAGTCTAGGGTTGCTACACAGAGCTAGGCAATGGCAAACCACTTCTGTTTGTCACTTGCCTTGAAAACCCTATGGGGTCACCAAAAGTCAGCTGTGACTTGATGGTGCTTTCCATTACCTCTGCTGCCTGCTTTTTCCTCCCCACCTCTTTCTCCAGGCTTTTCCCTCCCATCCATGTTTTCTACTTTTTCTGTCTTTGAAGCATTTTCTTTGCCCAAGAAGCTAACTGTGTGAAAAAGCACATGTGTATTTTGAGAGAGTTGTGATACCATTCCTCCAACATAACATAGAAAATAGACCTTAGAAAACTTGGGGCTGTGATGAATGAGAATGTCTGCTTTGTATGTAGCACTGATGGAATGATGTCTCTCCACACTGTTAGCAGCTTGGGTGCATAGTACTTTTCAGCATTAAATCTGTTGTGTCCGCTGACCGCCACCAGGGGCCAGCAAATACCCCAGAGCTTGACTCTGGAAGAACAATGGGGACTAGGCTCCTGGTCTCTCCACTGGGGGACCAATGGGACCGTGGTGGGAGATTTAAACCCACCAACGGGACCTAGGGGTGTGTCCCCAGGTGTGTATACAGTTGGCCAGCCGGCCATTTGTTTTTGTCTTTGTAGTGTACCAGTAAAGCGTGCAGGGTATCATGTGTGCCTCAGCGGGTCTTCCATGCGGCTAACCCACTACACAATAAAATCCTTTGTCACTTTTTTCCTCCAGTCTACTCTCAAGGGTCTTTAGTGATACTTTAGCCTCTCATACCACTGCTCTAGTTATAATCCTTAGACGGTCTCTGAATTTATAGATATATATCTGAATAAGTCTTTCTCGCTTTTACACACCTGCAAAGGAGAAACTGAATGAAACTTACTCAACCCATAGTCTGCCTCATCTGGGTCACCTTCATGTTTCCGCCACCTGCAGCATATATGTTGACATATCATAGTCATGTGACTGAAGATGATCAGAGGAGGGGGTAAGACTGGTCTTTCATGGAATGTCATAATAAGCTGATACCGCTGAAACTTCCATACTTGGTTTGATATAGATTTAACTTCAAAAAATGTGTTGCTAAAACAAGAAAAGAAGAAATTGATCTCTGATGAGCAGCTGTATCTTCTAAAATTTCATATTCACTAACAGATCAGTTCCACAGAGTGGGTTGGATCCAAACAATTTTCCCATGACAGAATGAAACTTTCTTCCATCCAACTGATACCCACAAATGTTGCTTCTGGGGGATAGGGGACCCTGAGGAATGACAGGGGGACTTTAGTGGGAAGCGAGAATCAGTGGCAATTGCCAGTTTAGTCTGGATCAACCCAGTACCTGGAAACAAAATGAATTTGGAGCTATAGTCTCTGTGATCAAAATACCCACCCAATACAGGTGTTTTAAAATACATGGTCACATTACATTTTTAATTTTATACTTTAAAAGTTTTAGGGGTACATCAGAAAAAAGTTAATAATTTGGCCATCAGAATAGAGCATAAGGACTAGAATTAGAAAGTATTCATAAAGTTTCTTAAGTACAATTCCTGTATGATCCAAATACATTACTTTTGCCAATTCTGACCATTCTGAAATTGCAATGTAAGGAAGGAACAATTCTCTTTCCTCTGCTGTCAGTGTAACTTGAGAACCCTGAGCACTTGGGAGAACCCATGAAGGGGCTTTTTCCAATACCAGCACCACCACTTCTTATAGAACAGAGAATGAATGGCATGGAAAAGAATAGCATTGCACATTCAGTACTACTTTGCACAATGGTTACTATAAGTAGCTGAAAGTTTTTCAAAAATAGGCCTATATACACGGCTGCAAAACTCACTTAAAGACAGCAATGAGTAAGTTCACCAGAAGTATGTTTGCAACCAAGAGGTAGCAAGCCATGATGGCAGGAACGATCCATGCTCCTGTTTTGCAAGGTGGCAGTTGGATTATTTTGCCATCCTCTCTTGTTTCATTTTGACCACAAGGAGCTGAGAAGAAACAGGGAAGAAGGGGAATGAAAGTGAATCTTAATTTTCAAAACCTTTAACCAAAGTTATTAAATATTGAAAAGCACAGTTTATTTCAAATGCTTACATACCACTAGAGGATGATTCCACTGATCCCACCCTTTTACAATAGGAGACTTGATTACTAAACTCAGTTACTTTGAAAAATCTATCACAGAATACCTAGACTTCTGACTTTTAAGACGTTATTCAAGTGGATTTTTAAAGAGAGACAATAAGTTTCAGACTTACTGACTTCAGTTGCAGCTATCTGGTTTTTTTCTAGCTCTTCCTAGCTTTTTATTATATTCTTCATAATTCTGCTTGGTAATTGTGAACACGAGCATAAAGCACTTGATAAAATTTATTTGCTGCTGTACACACAAATGTGGCCTTTTGCTAACAATTAGTCGGGGCAGTAGTATTCCCCAAACAACAACAAAAAGAAGAAATCATTTAACCAGTGAAATATGCAGGAATAAAGGTACACAGAAGCATAATATTGTTGTTGGTCCCCCCCCCACCTCTAATGACACATTATTTTCATTCCATTAAGGACTTTTGACATCATTCCTAGAAACAATGTGGTGGTGGTGGTGGTGGGGAGAGAAGCAAATACTGAATGTCTCTGGCACGTGTTCATAGCTGACAGTTGGTTTCACTTTGGATCATTGCCATCAGGGCCGGCTCACCCACTAGGCGAACTAGGTATTCGCCTAGAGCGCCGGGCCCTGGATGGGGCACCAAGCTGTGTCTCCCCCCTCCTCCCCCCCTTTGGTGGTGGTGGCGGCAGGGGGGAGGAGGTGGTGGCGGCAGCAGCAAAAGGGTGGCTGGCTCCAGAGGTCTCCAGGTTTCTAGGCCCCACCAGGAGGTTGGCATCTGCACCATAAGGCAGCCTCGCCTAGGGCGCAGAAACACCTCGAGCCAGCCCTGATTGCCATTAATTTTTAAGTGGGAAAGGAGAAAAAGGCATGCAGTTCTCTGACTCATTTTAGCAAACTATCTCCTCCTCTCATTTAGGTTTGATCCTCAGTTTGGGTGAAGGCAACTCTGTGCAGCTTGTTGTTGTTGTAACAGCAGCTTGAGCAATCCACTTTCAGTCATGGAATAACAGAATCATAACACAGATGTCCAGAAATGACTGAAATCACTGATGCCAGTGCATGTAAGAGTACCCATTCCATCATGTAATCCAAATGTGGTTAATGAATAAGGGAATCATTGCTTAATACTTTTAGTAGATTATTAGATGTTTATTTAAAACATTTTATCCTGACAACTAAGGAACGGAGGCAGGTAACAACAATAAATATAAAATACATTGAACTGTATATATTAAAATATCATTTAACATTAATCGTATCTGGATTCTTTGTTTATCATTCTTCATATGTCTTCATCTCAAGAGGAAGCTTTTCTACTTTAAGATTGGCCTTGATTGTGCTTATGTGCTTATATGATTGTACTTCTATCAATGCTTTGGTCTTTATTGAAGCAGTGTTAGCGTCTTTTTCACACAGATCACTATGTCCTTTTTCAAAACTATGGCTTTTGATCATCCTAATCCTAGTCAAGGCTCAACAAGACACAGAATAAGAGACACATCAAGGAACCCCTGATAGGGGTGGTGGGAAAAGAAGGGGCAAGGAGCACAGGAACATCGGGCTCAGATCTAGATCAGCTTGGTCTGCTTTGCATCAGGATGACATGCCATTAACTCTACTTAGGAAAAAGATTCTTTGGCTGATTTTGCAAAAGCAAAGAAGGCAAGCACCCAATGAGCTGCAGTGGGTAAGAGAGAGCATTGGTCCACACAATGTCATATCTTAGCACTACAGTAAAGTTTCCTTTCTGCATTAAGTGTACATATCAGCATGGTGTGGGTGCACTATGCACTAGCTAATGTTTAATGACCTTCCAAATGAGGACAAAATTCTTTATCTGTGTAATAAATTTAAAGCATGTTCTATTTGCATATCTGATCAATTAGTTGCCTGTTTCAGCTTTGCTTTAGTGTTCCAAACCTGTTCATGATTATAAGTAAACCATGGCAGGAGCTTTTCAGTCCCTTCAGCCTTCAAGCTAACAAAATGTTTGTCAGCACTTCACAAGATCTTCCCTCATCTGGATAAAACTATGTAGGAAAACTAAACTTTAAAATCCAACAATGTCCTGCTGTAGTGCAAGAAATGAGTATTTAGCTAATGTCTCCCAAATATCTGATAGCCAACACACTTGTTTTTCTTCAGTCCCTAGAAAGTTTTCTTTTCAAGTGTGAAAGAACAAGAAGCTTCTGCCCTCACAGGAGCCCATTTTCTGTGCTTCATGTGCTACATCTCTGTTATCAGAGTGACGAAAAGATCTAAGCATGCCTGATACAGCAGAATTCCTGCCTCCTGGCTCAGGCTGAATGAAGGGATGCAAGGCCAATACATTAAATCATGCGAAGACAATGAGACTGAAGCCTGCTTTGTGGGTGGGCATGGGATCACAGGAATCATTGCTTTTTAAAAGTAATTTATTTCTCATGGCACACTAGCTGTTCTCTAGTGGCCAGCAGCACACAGTTTGGGATTTACTAAATTAGGTTGTTTGAGGATTTCACAGCTATAACAAAGCAATGAATACAGTAATTTGGCTGGATCCAACGCATTGTTAATTTATGTTTAAAACTATGGGAAATTTGTGAAAAGCCCACTTTCTTTCATAGAGCAAGAAACTGAGAGTAGTGGCTATGTTCATCTTTTAGGTAAAGGTAAAGGTATCCCTTGCTTGAAAGCCAGTTGAATCCGACTCTAGGATGTGGTGATCATCTCTGTTTTCCAGCCAAAGAGCCAGTGCTGTCCGAAGACGTTTCCGTGGTGATGTGGCCAGCATTACTAGATGCCGAGGCGCATGGAATGCTGTTACCTTCCCACCAAAGCGGTACCCTATTTATCTACTTGCAATTTCTTGCTTTCGAACCGCTAGGTTGGCAGGAGCTGGGACCAGAGACGGGAATTCACTCTGTCATGCAGCACTTGGGTCTTTACCTGCTGAACTACTGACGTTCCAGTCTGCCATTCAGCATCTTAACCGCTTGAGCCACTGCAGCTCCAATGTTAATCTTTTACATTATTTTAAAAGAAAGCATTTCTACTTCAGAAAAATCAGCTTTAAAAGACTGCTAGCCATAGAGGATTTTTTCAGTTTCTTTTTGAACAGGTTTTACAGAGAATTTAAAATGGAATTAATTCATATTATTTGATGAGCACAGAGCATTACCACAGCCATAATTTTCCAATCCTTCTCTCAAAAACAATATATAAGCCCCTCCCCAATACAGATTTCAAAAGCTACCCAAATGTTGCTCCCATCATTTCTGTAAGAGATTTTCATCCCAGAGTATGTTTGGAAGATACAGAATAATGCAACTTTGCTCAAGTTAAGCATGTCTGGGACTAGTCAGCAACTGCCTGGGAAACCCCCTGCAGCCCTCTGTATACTGTGCTGAGTGTCATGATAGAAGGATGGGATATGAACCTAATATATTTTGTGTTTCAAAGGATGGTGGACCTTTTATCTTGAGTTTACCGGTGTAATTCTTTAACATTTATAACATGCCACTAAATTATCAGGATTTGTTGTTTTAGTATTATGAAGCGGTATGTCTAATATGGATGGATCAATGGGTGAAGCTTGAAAATGACAGATTGTTGGGGTTGGAAGGGCATGATTGTAGATTTGGCTGGCATGCATATTTATGGTATGACAAGATAAAAATGGACAGTTTTTTTAAACTTCACTTGGTGAGAAAAGCTTTGTATATGGTATGGACAAGATATAAGAAGTACCAGAGTGACTTAAGACCATTGTGGATTGTACCAGTAGAAGTGTTGATATCTTACTCAAGACAGCGAGGTAGAGACTGGTTGCCATATAGAGATTTAATTAAAAAAGAGGGAACAGAGTGGGTAATGAAAAAGCAGAAATGCAATTTAAATTCAATTTAAAATCTATTAATTCATTTCTAAGGCTTCTTTTCTTCCTTTGTTAATAAAAAGCTACTTGAGCTGAAGTATTGTTTTATTTATTTTGTGAACTTCTGCATAATTTTTCCTTTTCAAAGAAACAAACGGGAAAAAAGAACAAAACTACAGCCAAAATATCACAGCAAGACAAGAACAGTTAAACAAGACAAAAAAGGGACAAAATGCATTTGCAAAGGCCTTCCAGAACAGACAGGACTTCAATATTTATTTTAAATATTTTATATCACTTTTCTGTAAACAGTAATCACTCAAAGTGGTTTCCATGCACAATCTTAGTATGAGAAATCCAAGGGATATTAAGACCATTATATCAACAAATACACAGAGCAACAGAAACCACTATTGCCAGGGCCAACAAACAAAAGTAACAATAAACTACAGTGAATTACTAAAAGGTCCTTCCAAAAAGGTCAGCCTTGCAGTGTTCTCTGAACACTGACACAAATGGTGCTATTCACATTTGTTTCAACAGCCGATTCCAAAGGACTGGGGCCGCCAATGGAAAAGTCCAAGTTCAGCAGAAACAATCCTCACTGTCCTTGGCTTTTGGATTACCAGCAGTTCTTGCTGCAACGTGTAGTGTTCTTGAGCACTCATACTGGGAGGGGCAGTCCAACAAGTACAGGAGCCTCAAGCCATTAAGGTCTTTAAAGGTCAAAATCATCTCTTTGAACTGAACTCAGAAACTGTCTTCAAATATAGTATGGCTGAATTTACTAACTCCTGTCAATAAGTAGGCAGCTGCATTCTGCACTGAAGGTTCCAAATTGGCAAGGGCAATCTTACATGCACCACAATATAGTAATCTAGCGTTTAGGTCTACAGTAGCATGGATCAAAGCCATAGAGACCTGTTCTAATGATGGCAGAATCACACTCTCTGGAATCTGTTCTTCCATCCATCTTTACCTCTTCTTGCCTGGATTTAATTTTAGCTAGTTCTCCTTTAGAC